GGAAAACCAGAGCTCCAGGGGGTGTTAAGCACCCAGCACCCCGAGTCCAGCCCCCTCGTCTGAAGAATGGGATAGGTACTCGTCCAGCCCCCAGACATTAAAGGGCTTCCTCAAGGCCAGTCCACTAGCCCAGAACAGGGCTGGGACCAGAATGGAGCCATCTGGCCCAGCATTCTTTCCACCACATTCCAACAGAGCAAAAACTCCAAGTCTCTTAGAGAGCTTTGTTCTTCCCCTCATTTTTCAGTTCTTCAAGCAGCCAAACTCCCCTGGAGCGTCAAACAATATGTTCAAGGCCAGCACGGAAAAATCACACCACTAATTCGAAAAGTCTCAGTGCTTTGTGCCCACGTACTGCCAAAATTGGAAGCAGTGAAAATCATTTAAATATTACTTTTCTTTAATTGTGAGAATATCAGTGTGTGAAAATCGCCATGTGTAACCTTAAGAGTTGTTACAGCTTTCTAAAAAGCAAGCTTGCCTTTTCCAACTGCCATTCAGCACGTATTGTTTCTCCGTTTACACATCCCCATTAAGCGCTCAGCATAGATTTAGACCCGTGTAATATCTAAACGTGATTCAGAACTGATTCTTAAGGGTATATGTAAATGGATGCCTTATAATTCTATGAGATTACAGTGAAATTTACTGTTACACTGCCATTCTCTGAGTTATCACCCTGAGATTGGTGTTTTCTCTCTGTATTTACTCAGTTTTGTGTTGAATGAGCAAACATCAAGATTGTTGGCTTAATGCCAAGGTTCAGCAAACAATTGTTCCCCTGTTTGTGTGCTTTTTTATTTATTTCTGGTTGTCCTCTATAAGAATCTGTCACACCAAGTCTCTTAAAGGGATACCTAAAATATGCTTGGACTCTGCATTTGGGGAGGCAACTCCATTAACTCATGGCTGGTGTTATTGCAAGCATTGGCACGTGAATTGCAAACATCTTGATTATGCTAATGTGATGTTGTGTGTGTGTGCTTTTTAATGACAATATTCTAGCCCCAACCTCCTTTAGTAATAATAGTTTTCTTTATCACATAACTGTTCGCAGACAGACCGATTATTCATGAACTTTCTAAATGTACTTGGTACAGTTACTGAGGTTACCTGCCCCAAGTGGATTTGGAAGATAGAAACTTCAGAGACCCTCTCACGTCTAAGCAATACAATGTGTGTATGAACGAGGAGAAGGTGACTGTTTTCCAGAAATATAATGTTTGGGTTGAAATGTCTGACAAAGGAACACGAAGAACCAGAGCAACATGCGATTTTAAAATTAGGTCTTTGAATTCAAGATGACACTCAAAATACCACCGGTTTCTTACAATCTGGTGCTCTCTTGTCTTTTTCCAGAAGCTACAATGCTCCCTGCTCTATGTCTCAGATGCAAAACAGCCGGGCAGCACAGTGCAGTTTTGTTCCCTACTCTATAGCCCTCCTGTTGAACAGGGTGCTCCAGCGAAGCATGGGAGGGTTTTATCAGCTGAATGAAGCCACTTAACAAAATGTTTTACAGGCCTGGGAATTCTGTTCTTTAATGAGATAAATTCCCCTCGTGTGGTACTCTCTCTCTCTCTAGTGTTTTCCCTTCTGGAAATGGCACAAACCCTTTCTGGCTGTTAGGGTTCCGTGTACTATTTAATATCACCATGGGAATTACTTTATCAGTTTAAATCAGGAGTCGGCAAACATCTTCTGTAAAAGGCTAAATAATAAATATTTTAGGTTTCGCAGGTGATACAGTCTCTGTCTGTCGCAACTACTCAATTCTGCTGTCATGACACAAAAGCAGCCATAGATAACACATGTACATATGGGAAATGTCTGTTTACAAGTACTGAAATTTGAATTTCATATAATTTTCACAAATCACTAAATCATATTCCTTGATTTTCTTTTCAACCATTTATAAACATTGTATCCATTCTTAGCTCATGTACCATATAAAGACAGAGAGTGGGCCAGATTTGGCCCATGGGTCATAGTTTTCTAACCCTCTCTTTAAACCAATAATGGGCTGATAAAGTACAAACAACAACATGCTCACGAGCTTCCCTCATTTACCTAATCCTTAGCAAGCACTCAAAATGTCAGCTTTTGCTCTAAATCTTAGTTGGGACATGTCTGGGAATGAAAGTAGGCACATAATTTTGCTATTCATAGGAAGAATGCTGGTAAGCTCAGTGAATTTGCCGTTGAGATTGGAACTGATTTCACTATTTGACTTTCCACTTCTTAGAAAAGCGCAGAGTCTGAACCGAAATGGCACAGCCGTCACTATGGAAGCCCCTGGGCTCTGTGTGACCAACCTTGCCCTAATATACCCATGGTCTCAGTGCTGCAGGGAGACTTCTCTGCATTCTGGTGTGCCCTGCGTCCCCCACAGGTTAACTCTCTATCAGAACAGAGAAAATGGGGGGAAATGGACTCCAGAGCTTGGGTGATGGCGAATAAGGATTTTCTTTTCTCCTTCACCCTGACTCACCAATTTGCAAAGGTTCCTCCTCTACCAGGGAAGAGTGATAAGAAGCTGGGGTAGCGTCGGGGCTCTTCACTGTAGTTTTTATGCATGGAGGTCTTCCTAGACTGAAAATGCCTTCATAAAAAGGGGCCAATGTTTCTTTTCCTCTATACTTGATTGTCTAATGGACTTCATCTTAATTCTTCACGATCATTTTCTCTGTCACTTCTCTCTCCTTCCTTCCATTTTTCCTTTCTGTCTTTGAAGAATGATTTTAATATGCACAGGTGTGCTATATACCCTTGCTACTCAAAGTGCGGTTGTATTTATTACCTTCGTTTTTAACATAACCAATTTAATTGTTACATTTATAACATTTAATTTTAATAATGGCTTAATAACTGGGCCCAAATGTTCCTGATAGTCAGCTCTTATCAGCCAGTACTAGTTGGCCCTAGCATGCCCCTAGAAAAAGGGCATTTTTCACAACTTTGGACTTTCACAACTTTGATGTTCCAGAAGACACCTGCACAACACATTGGAACCACACCATTCATTTACAGCAAACCTCTGTTCACAGAGAGCCTTAAAAGTTGTGTGCAGTATATCACTCTTACAATTCTACAAACATCCATTAAACTTTCTCAAGAACATTTTATAGGTGTCCTTAGTGTTGGATTATTCTAGTCGAGAATTTTCCAGTTTCTAGTCGGAACATTTCATATGACTTATTACACTCATGAGTTAACACTTTTAGAGATGGTCCCCAGATACCATTTTAGCCTTATTTCAACCCTTCATTCATAAATCTTTAATGTTTGTTGCTCTGTAATTATGCTTTGACTTGAGTTTCATCTCATCTTTCCTCTTCTTCAATTTTAATAAAAGAAAAATTGACAGCAGCATCCAGTAAGAGAGAGACAGTGTGAAACGAGTTTAAACACTAAATAATCAGCTTCCTATAACAGAGTTGACCATGAGTTTCCTTGGGAGGATCCAGGACTTTTACATTTTCAAGAATCCTTAGTTATATTTTCATGGTGCTGCGTGCAGATACTTGGAGAGACTGAGTCAGGCCACCTGGTCCCTCATCCCAGCTCCCTCATTAACTAGTTAGTTCCCTAGGGTGTTGGGACAGTCACTCAACTCCACTGAGCCTAAGTTTGCAACCTGTGAAAACAAGGGTTAGTAGATCTCTAAGATCCCCTTCAGTTCCTTTCTTAATTCTCAAAACTTAAAAAACAATAATAATAATAATAATAAATTGAAAACAGATCAAAAGTAAAAAATCCAGGAAAGACAAACTTGTTGCTCATTCGAGCAGTCTTCCTGGTCTGCCTTTTTCGATGGATTACACCATTTTTATGCAATTCTCTGCAAGAAATATGCCTAGCCACGCTTTTTCCTTACAATATCACCGCTCATAAAATGCACCTTTCATAAAAATAATTTGCGTAATTTGAGCTGTTTACGGTCCTAAACGTCTGGTTTTCGTCATTGCATGGGTTCCTGTTTGTGTGACTGTCCTTTCTTAGGTTGTCCTGTGCCACTGCCTTCTGGTGCCTGCCGGCCCTCCTGCCTCCACTTTGGCCACCTGCCCTCATGATCGGGTCCCCACCGACTGGACACCTGCGTCGCCCTCCACACAGTCGCCTTCTACACAGTCCCCGCAGCGTCTGCAAACTACTCAAGCGCTTGGCCCCAAGCACCAGGAAGAGGGGCGTGTCCCCGGTGCCTCACAAAGGAAAAATATAAGCAACCGGCAATATGCTTACAACTCCGGTACGCTTAAACCGGACTTGGCCAGGCAGTGGGCCCTCCCCTCCCCTCCCTGCTCTGGAGAGGGCTGCGGTTTGCATCCTAGTTGCCATTTAGACGCCTCCGATCTTCCAGCTTCAAGTTTACAGAAGTCCCATAGCCGTCCAGGTGCCAGGTCCGCGTGACGCAGTTTATTGTGGCAACCATTCCCGGCAACTGCCCAGGTGCCCAGCGCGTCCCGCCCAGCGTGGCAGTGCGGGAGGTGCGAGAAGCGGGTGGCGCTGGGGGGCGCAGGGGCAGGGGCAGGGGCTGGGGCGAGGGCAGGTGCTGGGGCAGGGGCAGGGACGGGGGCAGGGGCAGGGGCAGGGGGCAGGGCTGGGGCAGGGGCAGGGACGGGGGTGAGGGCAAGGGCAGGGGCAGGCACAGGGAAGGGGGCGAGGGCAAGGGCAGGGGCAGGGGCAGGCGCAGGGGCAGAGCAGGGACCGGAACAGGGGCAGGGGCGGGGGCGAGGGCAAGGTCAGGGGCAGGCGCAGGGACGGGGGTGAGGGCAAGGGCAGGGGCAGGCACAGGGAAGGGGGCGAGGGCAAGGGCAGGGGCAGGGGCAGGCGCAGAGGCAGAGCAGGGACCGGAACAGGGGACAGGGGCAGGGGCGGGCGCAGGGACGGGGTCAGGGACAGGGGCAGGGGGCAGGGGCGGGGGCAGGGCCAGAGGCAGGGGCAGGGGGCAGGGCCAGAGGCAGGGGCAGGGGCGCGGGACAGGGACAGGGACGTCCCCAGCAGGGAGCGCTCGCCTGGGCGCAGAGGCGAAGCCGGCGGAGGAGGAGCGGCGGGCGCAGCATGGGCTGCCGCCCTTCCCAGCCCGCTGGAGACCGGAGCCGCCGCGTCCCCGCGCCCAAGAAGGGCTGGGAAGAAGGATTCAAGGTAAAACAAAGAAACAAACAAACAAAAGTAGAAAGGAAAGAAAAGAAAAGTAAATAAACAAAGAGACATAAAGCACTTAGCGTTGGGGGCGGCAGGGGTGTCCTGGAGCAGGGTGGGTGGAGGGTCACAGCCCCCTAGTGGGTGGGGAGTGGAGAGGACAGGGTGAGAGCCACTTTATTCTGCCACTGTCTCACTGCTGTCTTAACCAGGAAATACAGACAGACAGATAGATAGACACACACATATGTATGCATAGATGTGTGTGTGTGTATGTTTATTCTGCCAGGACAGATTTGGAGAGCCTTGGTGTGTAAGGAGCCTGCGAGGGTGGCCCGCGCCCAGGGCAGGGCAGAGGCATGGGATGAGCCGTGGGCTCCGCACAGGGCTGGGGGTGGCCGCGGTTCTCAGGGGAGGGTGGGAGTTCCTGGAAACTGCCAAGTATTTTTGGCTTCTGGAAAATGGCTCCTTTGGTAGTTGGGTACTTACTCAATTAGAGCTAGGGGAGATCTCAGAAGCCATCTAGCTGCGTCCTCTCTCAATTGATAGATGAGGACCCTGAGGCCCAGAGAGGGGGACATTGTGCCCAAGGCAGCACAACTTGTTGAGGGCAGAGCTAGAGTAGAATCTACCGTTTAAGAGTGTCGTTCCAATCTCCTTCCACTGTCCGCCAAGGCTGCATCCCTTATAATTCTTCCGGAGCCACTAAGGGGACTTTTTTCCCAGAGTGAGGCATGGAGGGATGGGTGGGTTGAGACAGAAATGAGAGCCAGGATTGTTTCCCATTTTTACCACCCTCAAGATTTCATAAACAGAGCTAGGGACCCTCAAGGGTCCATTTCAGAGGGGTTACCCAAAGATAGGGCTTCCATATAATTTATAATCAAAATCATGCTGTAAAGAGTAAAAGGGAACACTATTAATAAATTTTCTCAGACAGTCTGGCTGAAGCCCAGCAAACTGGGACTTATGGCCACCTTCCCTAAAGGGCATTTTTGGAGCTACTGTTTAAACTCCATGCACTTTGTCTCAGCAGGCTCTGTGCAGGACACATTAGGTGCCAGTGATAGCACCTACCACATGTGGGGCACATCTGCTGGCCTCTTGGAGTACATTTAAGAAGCAAGCAGACCAGAGTCTACTAAAGGCTGAGACTCCAGATGTATTGCCTGACCCTGGGGAAAGCCTGGGCCCAGATGACTACCCATCTTAGCACTGTTTTCTGTTTTCCATCCCAAAGCTGCCATGGTCTGCGTTTTTTATGGGCCCATTGCCACTTACCAAGTCCTTGTGCCTTTCCTGTCACCACCCTCACCAGTCTACTCCACCACCAGTGCCACCTATCTTCCCAAGAAAATTTTTTTGTAGTGTGCAAAACCTTTTACAATTTGGTCCCATCCTTTCAGTCTAGTGTCATCCTCTTCTCTACTGCCAATGCCTGTCACTTGTAGGTCTGTCAAGCCAAATGACTCGCAGGGCTCCGTTCTCCCAGGCTTCTCATGCCTCCATGCCTTTTCCCAGGAAGTTCCCTCCGATGGGAATGACTCCCTGGGTCCTCTCCCGGGTCAGCCTGCTGAAGTCCTTTTATCCTTCAATACTGAGCTGGAAGATAATGGCCATGATGCTCCCTTGCCACCTGGGTAATGTTTGTTTAAAGGTCCTTCTCCCTCCTAGATTTATGGGCTCCTTGGGAACACTTTGGTCATCTTTGTTATTGTTCATTATTGCTTAGGACTAATATGTAGGAGTACTCTTTTCTCCCGGTTTTTCAAAAAGGCATTAACGTCGTTTAAAAATATTAATCCATCATTCTTTTTTCCTTTTCATACAAAAATCTTTCTTTTTTATATATGTTGCTGGCATGGTTACATATAAGACTTTAGTAGAAGAAACTTTTCACTATTTGTGTTTCTTTTCCAGCCATTATCATTTATTCCATCACATGGTTATTACTGAAAATCATTTTGTTGTACAGAGCAGGATGGAATGCTAAAAAGGAATCCTCTCCAAGTGTCAAATCCACTACGTCCCTCTGAGCCAAGCCACTGCAAGGCCTAGAAGGGTTCTTGGGTTTCTTCCTGAATTTCTTGGGTACAATAGTCATTACCTCTGGTTTGTATTTTTGTGCATGTCTCCTAACTGCTCTTCCTAAATCCTTTCTCTGCTGATTTTCCATGTGACCTCCAGAGTGATCACTCTAAATAAAATCTGATATATCAGTCCTCTGTTAAAAAAAAAAAAAAAGCCACCAACCCATTAGGTGGGCACATAAACCAATGGACAAGAATATGATGACCTAGGTTTGATTTTTTTTTTTTCTTTCTTGCTCAAGAAACTGAAATCTAAGATTTTTGGATTTATTATTTATTATTGTATGACCTTGCTGAAGTTATTTAACCTCACTATGCCCCAGTTTCCTTATCTGTCATATGAGGTAAATAACAATATGCAAAGCTGGTCCTCTGTATCTGTGGGTTTCACATCCATGGCTTCAGCTAACAACCTCGGATCACAAATATTCAAAAAATAAAATTATTATTAGTTTTTTCCTTAACCAATACAATTATTTACATAGAATTTACATCATATTAGGTGTTATAAGTAATCTAGAGATGACTTAAAGTATGTAAGAGCATGTGTGTAGGATATATGCAAATACCACGCCCTTTTCTATAAGGGACTTGAGCATCGGATTTTGGTACCCAAGGGAGGCCCTAGAACCCATCTGCCATGGATACTTAGGGACAACTGTACCCAATTTTTGTAGTTGTTGTGAGAATTAAATGAATTCAATACAGGTAAACTGCTCGTATCAAAGCCTTGTGCAGAATAAGTGCTTCATATAAGTTATTACAATGATTATTATAAAATAAAATCCTACATCCTTATATAGCATGCCATCCTGTCCCATCCTTGATCTGGATCCTGCCAACTTCTCCAGTTTCATTTCTCCCCCCAGCTCACATTCTAGGCAAACCTTATGGCTTGTTCTCTAAGCCCATTCTGTTCCTATCGTGGTGCCATTGTATTTATTGTTTTCTCTCCTTTCAGACTTCTCCTTCTGCCTCTCTTGGGTCACATGAAAAATGTGTACCTGTCTTTCCAGACACTCAAGCTTGCTCCTCCATAAGTTCTTCCTGACACCCTTCTCCCTCCTCTGCCCCTGCCACCATGCTGGCAGAGTTGATCTTATACCTGCTCGTATCACATTTCAAAACAATTTGTTGTATTTATTTGTTTCTATGTTTGCCTCCCATCCTGAGCTGTTACCTCCTTGGGAACAGGACCTGTTTTTTAACCTTTGTGTTTCCAGTGCTTACTAGTTGCCTTATACTGATTTGCAGCAGGCACTAGTGAATATTTCTTGAGTGACTGCACATCCCTCCCGGTTCCAAAATTCCTTAAAGTCTTTTTGTCTCCTGGAAGAATAACTAGACTAATGACAGTCTGCAAGGAGGAAATTCAATATTAAAATAACCTGAAAATAGTCTCAGAGTCATGCACCTACCTTTCCCTGCCCCAAGCACTTGACTTTGGAAATCTGATCTGGGAAAGGTATGATTATTATTAATTAAGCACTCTATAGCTATCAGAATAGTAATGCTTTCACTACTTTTATAACTGTATAAGGCTTAGAGTTCAGTAGTTCAGAAGTGTCTTTAAAATGAAGTGAATATGTTTGCTTGCATGAAATATTTATGTTTCTTAGAGGCATGACTTCAAAATATTCTGAATTAAACTTCTTGAGACCTGTCTACAGACTTTCTCTTCACTTTTACCTTAGTTTAAAATGGCAAGAAGACACTGTAATAAAATAATGCATAATAACAAGAAAAGTATGGGAAACTTCTCTTAGTTGGAGATATGCTCTCCTTCTATATGAATAACTCAAAGTCCCTTGCCTATTATAAAAGGAGAGGCTAGATTGGAATGGATGGTCTCCAAGGACCCTGCACAGTTTTTTGCTAATACATGAAAAGAAAATTCTTGATTGTCAGTAAAATGGACTACATTACTTCTCAAAGTCCAGCTTTTAAAACAATCATATTTCTGAGTGCTTTTAGCGAGTTGCCATTTATTATTACATTTATGAGAATTAAACTAGAAAAAATCAAATTTTGCAGAATCATTTCTTCCTATATGTTTAGAGACAGATACATTTATAAAGTGCATCTGCTAATAATTTGATTTACGAAGGCTTTACCTTCAGGGAGCCTCCACAAATTATTCCCTTCCAGCTGTTAGACAAACATGTTTCCCAAAAGCTATAAAACACAGGCAGTACCTCCAGACCAAAAACCAAACAATGACAACAACAAAAGCTACACAACAAACAAACAAACAAAAATAAACCCACCTGTCTATAGTTAAACGCAATACCTTTTTTGGAATGCTGATCATTCCTGTGCATAGCTGGTAGCTTGGAATTGACAACTTTTTAATTCTGTCTAAAATTGATAAAATTTTATCCTCAAGACACTGAGGTATAAAAATAGAGTTCATACAAAATGTAGAAACACATTGAATCTGTTTGTTTGTTACAACTTAATCTCAAGGAAAAAATAAAACCTTCCACCCACCGCCCTGCCCCCTGCCACAGTACCATTACTATTTGTATAATGCAGGTATTCTTCTCAGTGATGTGGAAATATAAACTCTGCATGCATTTATAGAACAAGAACACTGTTTGGTGTATCCCCAAGATGCATAGATCTAATTAATTTGTAAATATGTCTGGTGTTTGAGCTATGTCTATTCTCAAGTCTACATTATGAAATTGGGTTAAAATTTCTAGAATGTGTTGCACATAGGTAAAATATTTGAGAGACCTTCTTAGTTTTCAAAAGAAAAGAACCTTAAATTTCTACTCTGGAAACAGAAGGCTGGTTTGTGTTGTTTTATACTAAGAGATCGTGTTTCACCTGCTGCAATTTAAGTTTTGGTCACTAACAGGGCTCAAGTCTCTAAATAAGCGCAAATAGGTAGAGATCCTTGCTATGGCC